GTTTAAGAACATGTTCATTTTAACTTCAAACTAAACAAACTTTAAATCCAATTTTTCAAAAACTGTTTGACTTCTTGTTTAGCTGTCAACCGGCTAAAACTGTAAGATTAAAAAAATTAATTATTCAATATTTAGTAATTAATTTTTAAGTATTTTAAATGCCAACCCATAAAAGTATTGGTAAAAAGCTTGTTACTTATATTGGCTGTAATTAGGTTCATTCCGCATACGCCTGGCTGAAATTTGGTCATAGTGGCTGTATTTTGGTCAAATATATTTTTTGTTATTGTTATTTTTTGTTTTGTTCAAATATATTTTTTGTTATTGTTATTGTTATATTTATGTTATTGTTATTTTTTGTTTTGTTCAAATATATTTTTAGTTATTGTTATTGTTATATTTATTATTATTGTATTTTGGTCAAATATACTTTTTGTTAATGTTGTTATTTCAGACAATTTTTATTTATAATAACAGTTGTAATTATATTCTAAATGCTAAAAAATTTATCTTTCTAGAAATGTATAATTTTTATATAGACTTTTTTGTTAATATGTATGTACAAACAATTTTGGAAAAATGCGGCTAAAATTTGGTCACTTTACCCTATACTTAGGGCAGACTTTTTTTGCAGGCACCCCACTTTAGTAAATCCGTAAAAAAAAGAGGCTAAAACCCAGTGCTGAGGCTAGGCTACCCATCTTTCTTTAGTTGGAGCCCTTTTGTTAATTTAAAAAGTTTTTTATTTTAGCAAAACCTAGCGGGAAAATTTTGAGTTAAAACTTGTTTTTTGTTGTCTTAAAAAATAGGTTGCCTAAAATACGAATAAAAAATAGGTTGCCTGAAATACAACCCCTTTCATTTTGGGAATAGGAAAACTTGTATTGTCATAACTTTTGTAATTTACAATATTTTTCTACAAAAATTAAAATATGTTGCTAAATTTAAATTTAGTTTTAGATTGTAACGTTGAAAATTTTACTACATTAGTCTTCTTGGGTATGGCCAGGGGAGTGGCAAGCGTTCCTAGGCGTTCGCTATCCCAATTTTTTGCAAAGCCTTCACATTTTGGCAAAGGTATAAATGTACCTAAGTTTGGACTTGCACAAAGTGTAAAAGTCTCCTAATTGGAACATCAAAAAATGCTGATATCGCCCATGCATGTGTGTAATTAGAGGAAAACTGTACTCTCTACTCCCTATACAATACATCTTTTTATGTTGGCAAACATAAAAAACATAAAGGATCTTTAGTCAGAATTTTAACTTTTTTATTGATTAACTGATTAATTGTGAGCAAAATTTAAGTACGCACTTTTAAATTAAACCCTCCTCTCTTATCTTCCATACGCTTTCGTACGCTTTATGAAGACCACCCCCCTGCTCCTATGAGTGTACTTACTTTATGGACCACCCCTAAGTACATGAAAACAGAAAAAATTGTATAACAATATTTGCTTTCACAACAAAATCCCTAAAAAAAAAAACTTATAATAAATAAATAAACATAACTTTTTTCATTTGTTACTCACTAACAGTAGCTCTTTTTCTTCTATTTCATTGAGGAATATTTAATTGTCGTAAATGTGCGTGCGATTGTTAAAATAATTTTAGCACCGAACAAAATTAATAGAGTTTACAATAGTTTATAGTAGTTAATATAATAAAAGCTAATATACAGCAATTATATTATATTAAATTATACAACATATAAAATCTTGATATGCTATTAAAATCTGATTGGAACTAGACCACACTCTCATTTTTACAGCATAAACATAATTTAAAAAAATTTTCAAAAATGCTACAAAACTTGAAATCCTTTCCTCCATTATCCAGGTCTGTCGCGAAGAGATTTTAAAGGGGGGTGACTTGTCGTTTTTTTGCCAACTAAAGCCAAAAAACTTTTTGCTTGCAAACTTATCTGAATTAATAAAAAAAAATGGTCTTCCTTTTCCGACATTTGCGGACTGCCAACTTTAAGTACTAGGGCTAGATATCCCTCCCAAGGGACGGCCCTACAATTACCCCCAAAATATTGAAAATAACCAAACCTTGGTGAAGTAATTATTCAAAATCTACCTGTCATTTTAGATATGAAATTTGGAACATTTTTTTAATTATAATAACAAAATTTAATTGAGAGAAAAAATACGAGAATAAATAAAACTTTAGAAGTTATGCATGAAACACTAAAAAGTAAGCGAGCTAAACAGCACTAATATAACAAAATTTCAAGATCTAAAACGAATTGAACAAAAATCTTCTCTTAAATGAATTTTAATAATATGAAAAACATTAAGTGAAAATTTTAGCTCTTTTGCATAATTATTCAGAAAATTATCATTTAGCAAAGTTTCAAAATTATTGAAAAAGTTTATTTTAAGGTTTTGCAAAATAAAAACTAGGATAGCTTACAAAGTAAAAAAAGTATATACTTTCTGGAAGAAATAAAATAAATTAAAAACCTCCTGGTTCATATGATATTTTTTCAGTATTTTTAACTTTATTTGAGTATCATTATCAAAAACATTTTCAGCATTTTTAACTTTATTTGAGTATCCATTTTTGATACTTTTTAACGGTTGACGCCTCTTTAGTCCTTGGGGAGTTGATTTTTTATTTACAATTGTAAGTGAGTAGAACTTTTTTGCTTTGGTATGACTGTTCTTGCATAACTATAAAATCTTAATTAAAATTAAAAATAAGATTTAACCTGAACATCACTGAAGTAATTTAATTATTTCAGTGATGTTCAGGTTAGATCTTATTTTTAATTTTAATTAAGATTTTATAGTTATGCAAAAAAATCATAATTATTATAATTATGATTTTATTGATTCATGTAAAACATGATTGAATATCTAACAAAAATAAGCAATCAAAAAAAAAAAAAAAATTTTTTCTAAAATAAGGCCATCTTCGGCTTCTATAAAACTAACAACTCGTCGAGAAATAATTTCAACACATAACCTACAAAACAGGACATGTTTCATCAACTAAAAGATTAAAAAGGTCAAACTTTAGTAACTATAACAACAGATTGAAAAATTACAAAGTTAAATTGTAAATAAAATTTATAAAAAAATCTATATTCAATAATTAAGATTTTTACGATAATGATTAAAGAGATATTCAAAACTATTTTAAAATTTAAATGGTTATCGCGTGCACGTCTACAGTGCCTCGTACATCACATATTCATTATGTCATCAAAGCTATTGTTGCGCACTCGGTTTAGAATATTTAACAGGGGCGTTGTTAAATTTCCTTACTATGTGTACATTAATTAGTTTTAACTCTTAATTATTTTTAAAAACAATAAGTTTTATAAAATTATTTAGTTTAAATATAAAGTTGAAATTTTTAATTATGTTCTTAATAAAAAACATACTTTTTCAACCTCCTTACCGTTTTAAATAAAAGGGCGCCGCGTGGTTCTTTAGCTTGCTTGTTTTTTTAATTTTTGTTGTTTAAAATGCGATTAAAAAAACTTTATAGTTTTTTAGATTTTATATTCTATATATAAACATGTTGTTTACTCATTTTCCTTGCACGAGCTCAACTTAATTGAAAATAAACTTGAAATGTTAAACTAAAATAACATAAGTATCTTAATAATGACACATACGCAACATATATCCCCCCCTCCCCGTTTTTGAATGTTTTAAAAATATTTAGCTTTTTTAAAAATCATTTCGTTTGTTAAAGTTTATCATATCGTTAGATATGTTTTTCTACAATTTTTATAAAACTTCACAAGTATTTTGTATTTAAAAAAATCTGAAAAAATTAAAAGATAAAGTTGTCAGTGGTAAGACTTGAACAGAGACTTTCTTCTTCAGATGCTCAGCGCGTTAACCACTCGGTCATACTGGCTCGTTGATCATCGAAGTTTAAAAACTATATAAAAAATTGTTTGTAATGAATATAGATGCTGATGATCAGAAATAAAGAAGAGGTTGACGCAATGCAGTTTTTAAGTGAAAGTCAAACTATAAAACTTGTTAATTGTTTAAGTATGTTTTAACATTAAATAACATGAAGTTTACGTACGTACGACATAAGGTTAACGTATTCTTGGAAAGCAAACATTTTTTAATGATTTTAACATTTTAAAAAATACTAATTGAGCCTCGGACTTGAACCACAGCTTTCATGTTCAGAAGCTAAGCGCGTTAACCACTCGGCCATGCTGGCATGTCAGTCGTTGAAATTTTAAAACTATATAAAAATTGTTTTTAACGGATATAGATGCTGAAGATCAGATATAAAGAAGAGGTTGACGCAATGCAGTTTAAAAAGTGAAAGTCAAACTGTAAAACTTGATATATCTTTAAGTATGTTTTAACATTACATAAATAGAAGTTTACGTACGTACGACGTTTTCTTATAAAGCAAAGGTGAGACTCTTTCTCGCTAATACCTCGGTTGCAATGGCTTTCAATGGTTTCGTGTCAAATACGCTCCAAGGGACACTTTATTAAAACTATTAAGTTCGGCAATAATATATTTAGATAGTTTAATATTATTATTATTAAAAGTGTTAAACAATAATAATTAATAAAAATTGTGCACCACAAATATAATTATATACTTAATAATTTATCTTATAATTATTTTTATTATAATATTTTAAAACGAATCAATTATAAAAATTATAAAAATAAAATGAAAATATCATAATATGATAATATAAAATTAAACTTTTTAATTTGATTCTAAAATATTGAAATTATATAGTATATTTTAAAAGATATTTAGTTATAAAAAGCTAAATTAAATATTTTATTTAATATTTTATAAATATTTTTTTATACTATATATGCAGTGGTATGAGCGCTTGCTTTGTAAGCGAGAGGTTCTGAGTTCGACTCCCACCACGCCCCTGGAAGTACCGCGCTTAACTTAATTTCTCCGCGCAGCGACCTTGCTTGTCAAGGTTCGTGTTTCGGAGTTTAAGATTTAAGAGAGAGTTGTACCACGATTTACAAAAAAAAATTTAAAATATTAAACATTTTTAAAAGTTAATTCATCGAGGTTATGAAAATATTTTCCTCGGTATTTGATCTCAAACTTTCTAATATTTGAACAACGAATCAACTCACAAATGTCTTTAATGAAATCAATGTCGTCGTGAAGTTGAAGAAGTAATTTTTCACAAAGAATAATCCAAGGAAAAAAGTTTTCTTCAAAATCTTTTTTTGTTATTAAATCAAGTGACAACCATATATTTAACCTTTTAATCTTATCTCTAGGTTTCCATCCTTTGAAATTAATTGGAAATAATAAAAGCTGACAAAACGAACATTAGTTGAACATAGAAATAAAAGATTTTTTTCTTCATCACTTAAAATACTTTTATAAACATATAACTACGATAACTTTCTTCCAGATTTTATATAATAATTTACGAAATAATTATCACAAGAAGTTGCGTAAGATGTTTTTCCATCGTTAATCGAAATCCTCCAATCAATCTTTCGTAGCCATAGTTTATTAACACGCCTTTGTTCAACAACAATTGATTTTATTTCATCAGAAAATGACGATTGACTTTCATAAAAACATTCGTAGAAAAAATCAAAATCATCATGAGAAAAGCTAATACTTTTAGATGGACGATCTAAAGAAAAATTAAATTTTAAATATAACAATAAACAAAAAACTAACATTAATTAAAGTAGTAATCAAATTTTTGATATTAAATATATTATATTATTCTTTATATATATATATATATATATATATATATATATATATATATATATATATATATATATATATATATATATATATATATACACATATATTAATATTAAAATACAACTAAATAAAAAATTAAATACAGTTTCTTATATGCATAATTATTATTGTTATTTGAACACGTAATTTTTTATTTTAAGTTAGCAGGGGAGTGAGGGGGTTTGTTTGAGTAGAAATAAATATCCCTTTCATTTTGAAAGTTGCTTAAGTCGCTTTGTTTTCAAACAGGGTTTTTTAAAGATTTGTATTTTAAGATATTATGTTATTCCATTAACTAGCAAAACTTCTTTTCAAAATATCTCAATAACTTTTAACACAGTTGGTTCAAATTTTACTTTACAATCGAAGAGATACCGATTCAATATAATCATTGTTTACAATTTTTGTTTATAATGATTGTAAGTTAAATTATTTCACAAATGATGAGATATTGTTACATTATAATTATTGTTTAAAATTATTATTAGATAAAAATCATTGTTAACAATAATTGATAACAATGATTATAATGTGATGGTATCTTTTCATTTGTGAAATAATTTTAACCAACTGAGTTGTCTTTTTCAAAAAAAACATTGTAATCAATTATAATTGATTAGAATATTTTTTTGAAAAAGTGACTTATGCCACTTTCAAATTTAATTATCATTAAATTTAATCATTCTAGTATAGTTATGTTGATTGTTAAAAAACCAAATTTAATGAACATTTGCAATAATAATAAGTTCTCAGTTAAAACTTTTTCTTTATAACGTCAAAAAAGTTAAAACTTTTTCTTCGATACGTCAAAAAGTTTTTTTTCTCTAGTTTTAAAAATAACAAGGATATTTTTTAAACTAGAGAACTGATTCTTATTTTAATAAAAAAATGATTTTTCTGTTAACTCACTAATGTCCATTTCCATCAATTTTGAATCAATTACGTTCAATATATCTTAATTCGTTTTAAAAAGCTTTGTAGTCGATCAACAGGCATTGTGGGTCTAAAATAACTTATGATCAATTTTAATTTGCTAAACGCTCGTTCATTTGATGACAAAACCATCAGCTCTGAGGAAGCCATTAGGGCCATGGTTTTCGAAGTTTTATAGCAGCAATCTTTGAAAACAGCTATGCATAAAAAACGCATTTAATAGGTAATTATAAAAGTGTTATAAAAAGACAATAACTTTTGGAGCCCCGAAATATTTATGTGCTATGAAAGCCCTGAACGATGTAACTATGGATGCTTTTAACATTATTTTTTTTTTATAGGCAAAAGTTTCTTGTACGCTTCTGATGCATTAAAAATTTCCAATAAATTAGAAAAGCCTTTGCAATAATGAACGAACACTAAAATCTCAGATTAAATTCCATCAAAATAACCTATTTTAGACGCAACACAACGTGAAGGGAATAAGTTTACAACTTTTTATCTATATAAAATATTTGGTACCTAAGGTGGTTTCAATAAAAGAAACATATTTTTAATGCTTTAGTTACCTTTTTTCAAATGCTTAGAGATAATAAGTAAAAGATCATTTTTAAGTTCCAATCTGTTAAATTTAGAGACTTAAGATTAGAATCAATGTATTTTGTCAGTAATCGTTTTCTTGAACTCTTTAACAGACCCATACAAATTTTATTAAATCGGTTCTAGCTGTTTACCTATTTTTTTAACAACTTCGCTTCCAACAAAGCTGCAAGCAACCACTAAATAGTATTGGAAGTTACTGGAAGAGAAAAGATGAAGATTTAAAAGCAAGATATTGTTTGACAGATGACTTAAAAGATTGCAAATTATATAAATCAGGAAAGCAAGATGAAGGAAGCGAATTCTAAATAACTGATGTTTGAGAAAAAAACTAGAGGAATAAGAATTTTTGGAGCACATAGGAACAGTCACAGAAAAAGGATGAGACTTAATTAAATGACGAGTAACACAAGAAAGAATATTAGTAGATGGCACAAGAGACGCTAGTGTAAATTATAGTAATTAAAAAAAGAGACGCAGTATAAATTATAGTAATTAAAAAAAGAGAAAGAGAAGCAACATTATGATGATGTGATAATGGTTGAAGGTTGGGTGCAAGAGCAGGCCCAACTAGGTATACAATGAGTTTTTGTAACTTGTCTAAAAGAGTAAGGGCATCATTAGAAGATCCGCCCCAGTTATGGCAAGAGTATTCTATACAAAGCCTGATTTGAGATTTATAGAGATAGAGAATAGAATCCAGAGTAAAATAGTCTCAAGCTCGATAAAGAGATGCAACTTTAGCAGATGCTAATTTTGCAACGGATTTGATATAAGATTTTTTTTTTTTTTTTAATTATTCACCAAGGCCCGAGAGTGCCAGTACAGTCGAAGAAGCTACTCATTTTTTTTTTTAATGCTGTAAGTCGTGGTACAATCCTCTCTCAACTCTTTAACTCCAAAACACAAACGTTGACAAGCAAGGCCGCTGCAATCAGACAAGTATAAATGGTAGTATCATCAGCGAACAATGCCACCTTAGATGTCAGAATATTTGGAAGATCGTTAATGTAAATTAGAAAAAGTATAGGAACAAGGATTGAACATTGAGGAACCTCTGAGGTTACAGAATAAGAAGAAGAGTGCTGTCCATCAAGGACAACTTTTATACTACGATTGGAAAGGAAGGATTCAATATTTTTAAAGGTGTTTCTAGAAACACCATAACAAGAAAGCTTATGGAGAAAACCAGCATGCCAAACTTAATCAAACGTTTTAAAAATGTCACGAGCGATGGCCTTAACCTCTCCACCTTTATATAATGCATGCTAAATCCTATTGGTTATTACTGCTAGCAAATCAGTAGTAAAACGAGAAGATCGAAATCCATATTGATGATAAAAAAGTTAATAGATTCAAGATGAGAGATTAAGTGTTTCTTAATTAAAGATTCAAAAATATTGCTTGTTATAGGAAGAAGACTAATGGGACGGTAGTTGAACAAATCTGATCAGTCTCCATAATTTTTAAAAATAGGGTTAACAGATGCTGCTTTCCGACAGCTCAGGAAAACACTTCTGCAAGACTATAACAGGTATGCTGTCCGGGCTATAAGCTGTAGAAGAGTCTAAACAGGAAATAAAACCAAGACTTTGAATTTAACCAAGAGCCCCAAGCCAGGGGCAAAAATCTGTGTTTTATGACAGAGTTGGCATCTTCTAGCTTTTGCCTAAAAAGGCGTATCCTACAAGGCAGCAGGTCATAAAGCAGATTGTACTGGGTTACATGTTACCAGTAGCAGGATAAACTGACCTGACATATCTTATTTTAAATAAATTACGATGTTGTAAAGGATTTTTAATTAAAAAACAATTTTTTTTTTAAATTTCTATATCTTTCTATATCTCGTACTGGAAGAAGAAAAATAATTTTAATACAGAATATTAATCTCATCTAACTTTAATACTGGTATCGCAGCGGTGTTCAAGAAATGTATTATTGCTATGGGCCTGGCATGGTATAAGGGTTCGTTCATAAACTACGTACGCTCATGAGGGATTTTCAAACACCATACAAAATTATATAGGGAGGGGGGATGCGGAGGACAACTAACAAGTGACGATTGCGCACATTTAAAAGTTTAAAATAAGATTCTTAATTCTTCGCACTAAAAAAAAAAATAATTGAATCGGTAATTTAAAATTTTGATTTAATTTTTTTTAATTTAAAAACATTTATATTAAAAAACCAATAATTTCAAAAAAAAATATGTTTTTATAAAAAATCATTAGCAGTGACTTGTTACTTTATTTAAATTCAATAAAATTAAAACGTAAGTAAAGATCAAAGTTAGTTAATTCAAACGGCTTTCAAAAACGTATTTTTTTTTCTTCTCAAAAAAAACTTCAATGATTCTTGTATGAAGTTTATTAGAGACCTTCGCTTAAGTCTAAAATTAAAAAAAAAATTTTTTTTAAAAACTTTTAATTTTTTTATTTTTACTTAGAAAAAAAATCTTATATAATTAAATAATATAAATACAGAAATATAAAACTTTCAATGATAATTAAAATCTTTATTTAAAAGCGTTTTGCTAATATAAAAACGTTAGTAAAGATAAACGCGTCAAATTTATTTATTTTCAATGTAATTAAAAAACCATTTTTTTAGCGCATTTGTTAAAAGCCGTGGTTAAATCATCATAGCAAAATATTATTTGCGTGGTCTTGAAATCGCACGCCTTCCTGGCCAAGCCTGGGTATACACTAATTTAAAAAAACTTCCTTTAAAATGTTCATTTTACTAATCACAATATTCAAGTACTTGTTAAGAACTGTTTTAGAAAAACTAACAACTTAAAAAAAAAAAAAATTCTGTATAAACCAATAGAAAAGTTAATTTTCTGACTAAAGATTCTATATTACCAACAAAAAAGAATGTATGGCATAAGGAAGTCGAGGGTGTAGTTTCCTTCTATGAACACAAATGCCACCCCTTAAACACTGGGCCTGAGTAAGGCGGACTTTTATTTGTATTTTAGACAATCTTTTTTTTCTGAAAAATAGCAGTGCCGTTTAGCAGTGCCGTGACTGATAGGTAGGAATTTTTTTTTATTACTAGGGATCATCTCCTTTTCCCTATAAAAAAATCCCTCTCATTAGGGCCTTTATCTAAAAAATTTGTCCGCGAGGTATGGCTGAAAAAAAAGAGAAGGTCCTTAAATTTGCAAAAGGACTCCTAAACTTATGGGATAGCCTAACTCCAGCTTTGGGTTTCAGGCTTTTATTTCATTGTTACTCATCTTGTATAAGACTAGTTTTTCGGAGACTTACTTAGGAGGGGTGACTGAAAAAAAAGTCTGCCCTAAGTAAAACTTATTTTCATTTGATTTGCCATTAAAACAAATTT